TGTTCAGTTGGGGTATCAGTCCCCTAACCGGACTCTCTCCCGACAGTCAGAACTGTTTGAGATTACGAAGGTCAAAGACGACGACAGTCATAAAATGTCATGAACAAAGATTCCGGGCTCACCTGGCCTCCCGTCCCACACTCACCCTGAGGACCATACCATGTTGGGGGACAAGGAACGCGAGACCCTATAATTTCAATATCCTTGTGTCCCTAAGGGTCCAAGTACCCAATAACGAGGTACGGGAGTTTGGTCATAGTAATTGTAGTACAGGTATTGGGTATGTATATGACTATTGAGTACTTGGACCCTTAGGGTGTTGTCAGTAGGACATGGAGACATGTTCTCAGAACCCCGCTACCCTTGCAAAAGCCAGTAAGGCTATGTCTTGCAATGACTGGCTGCGTCTGTTTTGCAGTTGGTTCGGCAAGGACTGAAAGGAGCTTCGGATATACTGGGTCATTGTTAAGGAACGCAAGACAAGTTACCATGGTATGGACACATAATTGACAAGGGAATATTTAATTTACCCTATATATATATCCATATTATGGATACATAATTGACAATAATGTATCTAATTTACCCTATATATATATATATGTATCCCTAGTATGGTAACCCAATTGACGTTTCTGAGCAGCACCTGAGCCTTTTTATGGGGGAGGGGGGTTTGGGGCTTCTAGGCAGATATGGGTTGGTGTGCCGAGGAAGAGACCAGGGAAGTTGTTGAAAGTCATGTCCTTCAACCTCCGCTACAAGAACCACGATGACGACGTTCATGGTTTCGGGTGGGAACAGAGACTGCCCGCTGTCACAGAAGTGGTGATCAGGCGTTTATTAGTAAGTTTGCTTGCCGTTTAGTTCAAGCTCAACACCACGGACCGCTCCCAAGCTAGGGCACGTAGCTCAGTTTGCTGAAAAGGGTTTGTCCATGGGAATGGTCGGTCCCTATTCGAAACATGACCCAGGTGCTGCGTCACAACCCGGACATTATTGGAACCCAGGAAGGCTTCCTACAACAAATACAAGAACTCCGGGAGAAGTTGTACGAGCATGAAAGGAACTACACGGCATGCGGGTGCCCGCGAGAGCGTATCCTGGGCATGATACCTTGTGGCGAGACTTGCTCAGTATTGTCGCATTGGCCAAGAGTGAAGTGCCTCGAACAAGACTCCTTTGCACTGTCGGAGACTTTCTCGAAGATTGGATCCACAAGTTGGGGCACCGCCTGTCCACGCATCGCAACATATGCGTGGCTGGCAGTTGACACCGGGGATCACCAGAAAGGATATTGCCTTCTGCTGCTGAACACACATCTGGACCACAGGCGCGTAATTCGGTCCCGAAGCCTTATTCGAGCTGTTCAGCATCTACATTTCCTTGATATGGGGGTTTCTAAAAGCATGGGTCCCCCATATATACCCCCAAATAGTACAATATTCCTGTATTCTTGGGACGTGTACAGGAGACACTTACTTTTCGGAAGCCATATGTCAACCCGCATTCAACGCCGGCAGGTCAGACACAGCCCGAATTGAGGGCGCACATCTCATTGCGAACACAACTGCATCTGGGTGAGATTTTAGTACAAATTTAGAGCTTTACAGCTTCTGTTGCAATTCTATTTCACATTAAGGGAGCTCAGATGTTTGACTTGTAGCGGGGGTGCCACCCTAAACCCACATATGGTAATTTGCCAAAATAAGGGGACCCAATATAGACCCCAAAATCCACAATCCTTATTGGGACACCCAAAAAGGTACCCCTTGTTTTGGGGAAGCCCCCATATACCGTAACCAAGGAAGTATTGGAGCAGAAGCCGCCCCAAGAGTGTGATCACATTGGAACGCTCATGGGCACAATCATGTGGGAATTTTTCTCTTTTGATGCGGCTGGCTATAGATGGATTTCCCCCTTTCACAACCAGCAATTTAGGCCAAGTTCCATTGATTTTCATTATTTGTGCTGTTGCTGATGTTTTTCTGATGTATAAGAACGCTGGACAGAGTTCCCTTCTCATTTCTTTGCCAGGTCCTGTAGCAGCCTGAAGAAGTTAATGAACCCTGAGCTCAAGAAAATTGCCCAGTGGTTAAAATCCTGAAGACCTACGCCCTGAACCCAAGACCCACACCCCAAAGCATAAGCCCCAAAATCCAAAGCTGAAACCCAAATCTAGGATCATCACTGGCGACTTCAACAGCCTGCAGAGGACTCCCGCCGGAGCTCAGGGTGCGTTTGCTGCCTTCCAGGCCATCTGTGGTTCAGGTGAAATAGGGGGTGCTTACAGACCCGTCAAAAAACGGTTACAGGGATCAGTTAGGGGCTTGAGTTTGGGGTTTAGGGTTACTCGCGCCAAGGGTTCATGAAACCCTAAACCCAACATCCTATAGGTACCTGGATCCTTTGGGTTATGATCCCCAACATGCTCAGCTTGCCAGACCCCCAAAATCCAAAAGTGGCTGCGTGCGCTTCTTAGCTTTCGCGCCTGACTTGCTGCGATCGCGTTTCTGACTCGCGGATTTGGATTTTCTTCGGAAGTTTTTCCTGCTGTTCAGCAAAAAACTCAGAAACTACATGAGCTATGGATCATGTGAGATGTCCGAACATCAAGGGTGCCAGCACGTGTCGCGCGCACTTTTAGCAAACGCGCATGACTTGAAGAGAATGCGTTTCAAACTCCCAGATTTTGATTTTAGTTCGATCAGTTTTTTCCTGCTTTTCAGCAAAAAAATCCTGGAAACTATGGATCATGTGGGATGGCCTGTTAGACTAAAGCATCCCCCAAAATGGAACACCCCAATAATGCCCTAGTTTCGCCAATGTAGCAAGTGTTTCATGTTGGGGGGTGGGGGGTTCCATTTGTTGGATCCTCTAAGGGGTCTGGGTTTCTAGGTTTGATCAAACTTCTCATTCGGACTCTAAGAGCCGCGCCTGACCTTTCCCCAAATGTGCCGGTTAAGATCCAAACTGTTTAGGATGTGGGATTTAGGGTGTGGCGTTTATGCGAGACACCCAATTTTAACCAGCCTGAAGCACACCATTTGAAGAGGAACTACCAAGGGAAATGACTAATTGCGCCTATCCTTACCGACAAGCTGCCCATATCGCTGATAATCTTTAGGCTTCGGGGTAGTCCTAGGATGACAGTATTTGGTCTTAGGCTTTGATATTGCTGCCTTTCAAAAATTTGCTGATGATGGGTTGGCTGCTGGGATACTCTTTGAACATGTTCCTCTGCTGGTTTCATATAAGGACCAAAAATAAAGGGCGTTGAAGCCAGCAAGTCTGCTAACGCAGGATGTCTTCCATCACCTGCCTGTCCAGGCATCTGGCTTCCGGGACGCGTGTTCTGAGTCGCGGGCGAAGAAACTTGGATTCCTGAAAAGGGGTTTAGGGATTCAGGTTGCGTTGCACCCCCAGACTGCAATAGTGGTATATTAGGGATGTCACACATCTGAAGATAGTTACCGTTGCCATTATCCTCTGCGGCACTACTAGTGGGTGAGGGCCTAACCTAAGATTTAGGGCCCTAGGGCCGAAGGTTTAGGATTCAGGGCTTAATCAGGCAAAGCTTGGGGGTTTAGGGTTTATAGCTGGGGGTTTCGTATTCAGATGTTGGAGATGTAGCGTTTAGGGCTGATGGTTTGGAGTTGGGATCTGGGTTGCTTTACTAAAGGGACCTCAATATTTGGCGTTCTTTTGGTATATCAGGCATCGTACACTGATTACAGCTTGGCTTTGCTTATCATTGGTAGACCTGTGGCGTGCAATACCTGCATCAATGCAAGCCGGGTCGGGTATACCTAACTTCTCCCAATACCAGCCCAGATTCCATTTAATTGTCCATGCTCTTTTTCATCAGCTCCAACAGGTTTATGGCCACAGGGATAACGTGACTAGCTGAGTGGAGGTAGTACTCGAACTCAAGAAGTGCAAAGCCCCCATATGGTAATTTCCCAAAATAGGGGGACCCCAAAAAGGTACCCCCTATTTTAGGAAACCACCATATGTTCCAAGTAGGTGCTAGGCTAAAATCCCAACAATTCAATGGAGTTTAGAATGGAACAAGGGAACCTATTAGATCGGGGTTATATACTTATTAGATTCCCGTATTCCGACTTCTCCCTACAGACCACCAGTGAGAAAATCTGGGGGTGCGGAGCGGTTTAGATTTTAGAGCCATAGGGCGAGCAAGATCCCTGTGTGCGAAGCTACTGAAGTTTGATCTGTCGCCCCACTGTTCCTAAATGTATATTTCTGTTTAGTCCCTATATGGCCCAATAGAATATCGCTCGAATTTCATGTTCGCTGTCATCTCCCATTTGATTATCCATGATTGGAATTATCAAGGTAATATCTCCATTAGCCTAGAAAGCCCAGGAACGTTCCCTTCTTTTCCTTCCATGGCTGGGACGCGCAAAATGCAGCAGCCTCTCGTTGCCCGGCGAAACTGCGACAAAGCGGCATAAGGCATGCACACATCGACTGGATCTTGTGGCGTGGCTCTGCGCTACGGCTGCGAGATTTTGAGGTGGATACGCAAACTCGACAGTGCCCGCCTTCCGACCATTTCGCTATCATAGCGACATTTCGGATTGAGGTGACAAAAAAGCAGCGTTTTGGGAACGGTGTATATGACAATTTTCCATTTAGGCCCAACGATCTTCGTCATAATGCTGCTGTCATGTAGGATCTCTTTCATAACGCTCCAGCCCTTCCAATTCCAACGTCTATCGCGTGTCCAGGATTCTCCAACAACAGTTGTCCAGGGTTCTCCAACCCTAAACCCTAAACCCTAATCTCTAAATCCTAAACCCTGAATCAACAGTGCTCAGATTCCGCAGGTGCGGCGGAGTTAATTTAGGGTGTACAGGGTTTACCTGCAAGCCCGCCTGCCCGCAGCTTAGGAGGAGTTACCCCTTAACTAGCAACTGGCACATAGAGCCCATACAGCTGCATCTACGTGTTATTCCAGGAAGGTTCAGCATGCTAGGCTCCGGAAACTTGCAGTCTTTCCAGGCATGATTGAAATTCGACCTACTTATCTGAACCCTGAAACCTCGAACCAATCACAAAAGGTATACCTGGACCCAATAACAGGCAAAACCACGCCCCAAAACACACATGTGAAAGGAGCCACGAGATGAGGGCATTTGTTCAAGGTACCTTTGGGGTGCGGTAAAGTTTTTAGAGCCCCTGTGAAGCCCGTTGAACACCTGAAATGCCCCAGACTTCGAACCTGGACAGGTTAGGGCTTAGGGTTTAAGGGACAAGGAAGAAGCTGGATTGACTTGCTAAGTTCTTTGTAGGGAAGGTGGGAATGCATTATTTAGGGATTCTATAGGGGTCATCCCCTTATTCCTGTCTAAGGATTTGCAAGTTGAGGTCTATCTTGAGTTAGGCTGCCCGCCCAGTAGTAGTGGCATATTCGAAATATTTAAGGGCTTTATTGTTCCGTGCTGTGGCTAGTAGTGCTCGGGGGCTCAACATAGCCTTTATACTTGAGCATGCTTACAGGACTTGTACTGCGAATGGCGTTTAGGATTGAGATGCCATACAAGGAACATCCTTGCTGGCAAGTTTAGTGTGTTTTGTGCAGCTTTTTAGTTCTCACCCATACTCCCGATTCCGACCAATGCCCCTGAAGCAAGAAAACCCTAACATTACTGTGTAGTCCCACATTTCCATACTAGAAACCATAACCCTTGGCGGCTTCTAACAAGTCGTCGGCCTTTACTGCCGCCTTGATTTTTCTGCAGGCGATTGTACAGGCGCTGACCCACATTGATCCCAGCCAGGCAGAGAGGACCAGTGCTTATAGGGTCTAGATTAGGAGGACGCCCCGCCCTGTAATCGTGGTATAATAGGATTATAGTAATTAGGGCCCTAATATAGTCCTTATTATTCTTTAAAATCACTACTACAGGGTGGGTCCACCTAAGGTCTAGAAGGGTTCTAGGGATCAGATCTGACAATTAGTACATTTTTGCTTGTGCGGAAGCTCTACCGTGGGCCCAGATAGGACTTGTTTTCAGTTTAGGCATATTAGGATTACCCTGAGTATCCTAGCTCCCCGTAAGTTTTGGAAGCCGCCTTAGATTTCTCTTAGCCCTAGTTAGCCCGGAGCCCACCAAAACCCCACCTCTAGTTCCAGTAGAACCAGAATGAGAAGAACATCTTTGACAAGGAGCACCTTCTTAAGATTAGCTGACGAACATTTGGATGATTTCACGGAGGAAGCCGATATTCGCCAAAACTACCTAGAGCTTTTAGGGGAGTTCCCGAAGTAAGGATGAGGCCCCCGCTCTCCCAAATTGGCGGCTCCTTGCTGCTCAGAAGAATCGGATTCTCGTGTTTGACTTTGTGAAAGCTTCCGAGCTAGGTAAGCTGACTTCCTGAACCCCAGAATACTAAGCCCTGAACGATGAAACAAATAGATCCTAGACCCAAAGCCCGTAAGCCTTGAATCCTAAACCCCGAATCAACAATCCTCAAATCCTAAAACCCTGGGCCCTAATCCACAAATCACACAAAAGTG